GTATACTTTCTTTCCCCTAAATTATGTTGACTTGGTTAGTTTCTTAGTTGACAAAAGTAGACAGCTATTTACCTAATTTCAATAACCAGAATATGTTAATCACTAAATTATCCCAAAACTCAAGTACTACTCTAAATGGTGTGTGTTGAATTTGGGATCCATATATTAATACATATCAAACCTTGGGTTGATGATCTTGTCTCGCAAAGGGCAAAGTTTGCGATTCCATGAGCAATTTGTGCAAGAACGTCGGGGTGTTCATATTTGGCCATTCCCAACAAAGCTGCTATTCCGACTTCTGATCTTAGTTTTATTTGCAATTTATCTACGGCATGCAGAAAATCCAAAGTGTTTAGAATCTAACCAATATAATAAACGAGAAAAAGAGAGATGAATTATCAAATCAAGTACCGTTTCCACATAGATTTGCAATCGCTCCAGCAATCATCTTTAGAGTATGAGGATTTGGAGTATTGGCTGTTGCCGATGAAAAATGAATGTAAACAGATTTTTTTTTTTTTAATAAATAAACAAATTATAAAATGTGAGATGTGAAATACTAAAGAAACCATGAAAATCCGCTATTAAGTTTTCTTACCGTTGTGAATTGCAAAGTTGGCGATTGCACCAGTAACAACTCTTTGCATGTTCTCATCTTCTGTACTTCTCAAAAGCATTAACATGGAGGTGAGGCCACCTACTTTCACAATTATTTGTCGATGCGCCTCTAGAATGGTACGTAGCAATCAAAATTCATAAGTTGCTACCTGTTTTTCGTCCTCATTTCTAAAAAATTATAGTAATATAAATAATACTACTTATTCCAAATACTAGAGAAATCAAGAGAAAAGAAGGTTTTTTACGTTTTGATTGGAGTAATAACTAGGGGAAAAATATACATCAACCGAAAATACCATTTCCACAAAGATTTGCAATTGCTTCAGCTACCATCTTGAGGGTCTGAGGGTCTTGCGCATTGGCTGCTATTGATGACAATAAAGCGATGCCTCCTTGAATTATGATCAGCTCATGATTTGTTTCTAAAAACAAAGCGCAAATAGAAATTGCTTTCC